TTCCTTTGTTTTGCCTAAGCTTCCTTTCACTCCTAGCGTTGGCAGAGACATTTGTCGGCAAATAGTTGCAAGCTTTGCGCGGGAATTCCGTAAAAAGAGGTGTCGCCTTTTTCTGCGGCGAGGGGAAAAAATTATCCCAGTGTACTTGGTGTGAAATGGTGACTTGCGCTATACAACCCGGTCCCTTTGGGTAATGGGGGCGGCGCCAAATGATTGGGCACCAATACATACTCTCAGGAGAATTTTGAAGGCCGTCGCATAGCTTGCGGCCTGGCTCTTGAGCGCGCGCCGGATCAGATTCTCGCAATCTTCAAAAGCGGAAACATAATTTTTGCGCAGACGAGTGTTTTTTTTTTTAGAGAAAAAAAAAAGAAAAATAAATACATAGTGTTTGGCCAGTGAGGCAAGTGATAGCGTAAGGGCAGTAGAAGCCTAGTGTGTAAAAGAGTAAAATAGGTGTCTTTTGCGGTTTCCAGTGGCGGAATCGGAGTTTGGCTTCGGCATCATCCGGAGGAGCATCGAAGTCGGGACGCACACCCCACCGACCAACCGATAAGTATCATTTCGTGTATTTATTGTTTGCTTCCCAGTCTTACAGGCGGTTAAAGTTACGCCCGGCAGTACGAGAGTAGTGCGAGTGGGTTCGTAACCAGTTCGGTTGGACCACACCTCGGGTGCACCTAAAAACATATTTTGTTTTATTGTTCTGTAGCTTGACTTTGCTGCTAAATTCTTGTTGTCGTGTCATTTGTTTACCGCGTTAGCAAAATTCACTTGGTGTTGTTTTCACCCCGTTGGATTTTGTTAGTATATATAGCCAGCGACCCACGCTTACTTCACTAAGCTGGCCGGTCGCTTTGTTAGTTTTTGTCATCTCCCTTTTGTGCGGTAGTTTGTTTTGACGTGTGTGGTTGTTGGTAGGCGCTTGACCAACAGCCACTGTAGGTATACATATGTATGTACGTATGAACATGCGCACATACATATTGTGAAGAGAGAAAATTGAGGTGACAAATTGGCGCCCAACGTGGGGCCCGATATTTAAAAATATATTTTTTTGCAAAAGAAGTTGTGGTTTGAAAAATTGTGTGGTTCTGTTTCAGCAGTTGCGTTTTGTTTTTGTTTGTTCTTATAGTTATTAATAATTTGCTTATTCATTCAGTATTAGTAAGGCATTCCACGATTGGAAGGAGTTTGTCAAGATTGGGAGTTGAACCCAGACCCGGAGGAGGAAAATAGTAGTCTGTGCATAGTACAAAGGAATTTGGTGAGTCCGTTTCCTTTTGTAATTTTATGTTTGTTGCGGTATATTGCTTAGGAGCATTATACCGGTAGAAAAAATTGGTGGTCAACTGTGTTGAGACTGGACAGAGAGTGACTAGTAGTGGCTGTTTCGAATTAGTTTGTGGTTTTTACCTATTTTTGTTAATCAAAGGTTTTTTTGTTAATATTTTATATTTTTTTTTTCATTATATATCTTTTTTTTGTTTTATTTAAAACAAATTATTTCATAAGTTTTGTGTTGTCTGAGTAGACAATAACTGTTCTTTATTTTATTAACTTTTCTTGTTCCGTGAGGTTAGGCTCTTCTGTTGTGTAGGGTCTTTTTGTTGAGCCAGTATAGGGCAACGCGCTTACCACGTTAGGGTTCGGTAAACCTATTCCAAGACTACCCCTTCAGTTTCGAAGAGGATAAGACGGTGGGCGAATCGAAACTGGAGGAGGTAGAAAATTTAATTGCGTCGGTTTCGTGTGGAGGCAAGCCATCGCATGGAGCAAAAGCGATGGCGAAGATCGAGTGGTGCCTTTCGCGAATAGGTCGGGCGCGACCGGGCAAGTTGTTGCTCCATCTCGCCGAACTACAAGAGGTAGGCGGCAGCGAAGAAACCGAAGAAAAGGAAGTCGGTTCGCTGGAGTGCTCGGGTGCCTCTCGAGCGGACCCGATAGCACCCCCGCCCGTGGTGATACGACGCGTGGTCGAGGAGACAGACACTTTGACGGTGAAAACGCATGACCCAAGCTCAACTTTTCCGCGGCGCGGTAGACCTGTTTGTAGGGAAAGTTCTACTATGGTTCAGGTCAGTCAGAAAGACATTTTGTAGTTGGGAGGAGCTGGTAAGAGAGTTGAAGTTGGAGTTTTTGCACCCCAACTACGACGACCTCCTACTAGATGAGATTAGGCGAAGGACTCAGGGAGCGAATGAGTCTATAGGCGTATATGTACCTGGGATGAAAGTTATGTTTGGCAGGCTGCAGGAGCCTCTATCGGAAAAGAGGATGTTAGGATTGATGAAGGCGAGTCTCCTACCCTTTACCAGACCCAGTTGGGACTGGTTACGATAGTCTCGATTATGGAACTAGTTGCTTTGGGTAGGCAATAAGAGGCAGTGAGGTCATCGGTGGATTCGTTTGTCTCTCCCTCGAGTCATAAGGCCAAGGGTCTATTGCAGCCTGATATTGGCTTATGTCTCGAATGGTGTAGAGGTCGCGGCGGTAGCAGAGCCGGACCTTGTTGATAGCTTTAAGCCGGGGTCGAATACCCGATGCTTCAATTTGTAGGCGGCTTGGACACATTTCGGCGGAGTGTAAGAAAGGTATTCAGTGCTTCGGTTGCGGTTGGCTTGGAGTCAAAAAGCGGGACTGCCCGGTGTGTGCAGCGAAGTCGAGTGGCTCCCCGAGACCGTGGTGCGACCAGAACAGTAAAAGGTCGGCTAGGTTGGCAAAAATTCAGCCCGTATGGTATTAGGGTGAATTCCGTTTCCAATTTTTTGAGAGTTCGTGAAAAGATTGGGCACCAATACACACTCGCAGGAGAATTTTGAATGCCGTCGCTTAGCTTGCGGCCTGGCTCGTAAGCGTGTGCCGGATCAGATTCTCGCACTCCTCAAAAGCGGAAACATTCTTTTTGCGCAGACGAGTGTTTTTTTTATAGAGAAAAAAAAAGAAAAATAAATACATAGTGTTTGGCCAGTGACGCAAGTGATAGCGTAAGGGCAGTAGAAGCCTAGTGTGTGAAAGAGTAAAATAGGTGTCTTTTGTGGTTTCCAGTGGCGGAATCGGAGTTTGGCGTCGGCATCATCCGGAGGAGCACCGAAGTCGGGACGCACACCCCACCGACCAACCGATAAGTATCATTTCGTGCATTTATTGTTTACTTGCGCTTTGTAGTACCGACAGTGTCACTACCCTCGTTACGTCCTTACCCATCCCGCACCGAGAGCTAGGTCTTACAGGCGGGTTAAAGTGCCGCCCGGCAGCACGGGAGTAGTGCGAGTGGGTTCGTAACCAGTTCGGTTGGACCGCACCTCGGGTGCTCCCAAAAACATATTTTGTTTTATTGTTCTGTAGCTTGACTTTGTTGTTAAATTCTTGTTGTCGTGCTATTTGTTTACCGCGTTAGCAAAATTCACTTGGTGTTGTTTTTCACCCCGTTGGATTTTGTTAGTATATGTAGCCAGCGACCCACGCCGACTTCACTAAGCTGGCCGGTCGCTTTGTTAGTTTTTTTCATCTCCTTTTTGTGCGGTAGTTTGTTTTGACGTTGACCAAGAGCCACTGTAGGTAGACATATGTATGTACGTATGAAAATGCGCACATACATATTGTTAATAGAAAACATGGAGGTGACAAATTGGCGCCCAACGAGGGGGCCGATATTTAAAGATATATTTTTTTGCAAAAGAAGTTGTGGTTTGAAAAATTGTGTGGTTCTGTTTCAGTAGTTGCGTTTTGTTTTTGTTTTTTCTTATAGTTATTAATAATTTGTGTTGAAGACATGAGTGTCGACCTCATAAAATTCTAAAATAATAATAGAAATTAAATACATATTCTAATAAAAATAATAGAAATTAAATACATATTTTATATTCTTCTTGAATTGTTTAATCTGAAATACTCTCCCTGTATCCACTGGAATTCCAATTCTTGTAAAACAAAGTAGATTGAAGGAAAAAACGGAAAACCAAATTTTCCCCTCCTTCTCCGTTAATACAAAAATTACTAAGTATGTTATAAATAAGCTTACAGTATTTTTATGTTCAATCGCTTGCTTACCTCAATACAGTACGTTTGTACATGCATATGTGCGTTGTAAAAAGAAATAAAAAAATAAAAATAGTGTACTGAATATAGAAAAGAAAACATTTTTACTTTAATAAACCAACATTAATATTTTCAATCTTTTTAAACAAAATTAATCTTTTATTCTATTCAACACCGAAAGTTGAATATGGTGCCGAAAACCCTTTAACGGAGTGAACCTTACAAAAAAAAAAAAAAAAAAAAAAAAAAAGCGAAAAACGGCGTAAAAGCAAGCGATAGTCGCGAATAAAAAATTTTGCTATAAAATAAATATATAAAGTTGAAAGTAGAAAAAGCGAACAAAGTGGAAATAAGTGAAAATATATACAAAAATTCAACATATGCGTTCGCTGAAAAAGCGCATACGCACATATATAGAAAAAAATTAAAAAATATATGTATATAAATAAATAACTAAAACAAAAAAAAAAACAAAGTATATACATATAAATATATAAAAAAAAACATTCGCTAAAAAAGCAAAGCATTTACATATAAATATATATAAAGCGCTCGGTGAAAAAAGTATATATGCCGTTCGGTGGAAAAAGTGAAAAAAAATATGTATATATACGTACATACATGACCATATACATATAAATATATATAAAAAAATAAAATCAAAAATATATATGCATACATATACAAACATAACGTTTGGTGAAAAAAGTGACAAAAAATATACGTACATATATGCATCAGTACAAATCTTTTCAAACTTACACATAAATATATATAAAGCGTTCGGTGAAAAAACGTTCGGTGAAAAAAGTGAAAAAAATATATATTTACGTACATACATAAGTGCAAAATTTTTAAAATATATGTATAGAAAGAAGTGAAAAAATACATACCGGTCGCTACAAACAAAAAAAAAATAGAGGGTCCCTGAAAAAAAAAAAAAAAAAATAAAAAATAAAAAGTTTAAATAAAGAAATATATACATACCATTAAAAAAGTACATACTTACCGGTTCCCGACAAAAAAAACAGCACTACTCTAATAATAGCCGAACACCTAACAGTCAAAGATTCTCAAGAAAAACTGTCACATACCAAGTGGCAATTGACGAAGAACGGCCCTGTACCTCTCAACAAGCAGCAAAAGCGTCAAACTCTACTCCAAAAGAGGATGATAAAATTCTTTCACACTTCTCCAGCAGTAGAGAAAGAACATTGCTTCACACAGCAATCATCCCGATTCTCCATACAGGAGAAATAACTCAAATAAGAGCACTCATACACCAAGGGCCTCAAAAAACCTTCATAACCTCTCGTGTGCAAAAATTACTCGGACTTCCCATCACAAAAATTCATTACGAGATTCTAGGAATGGACGGGCACACGGTACAAAATTCAAATACTCCCACAGCTAATCCAATTCTTGCCGTAATTCAAGATCACATGTCTTGATATCAAACGATATGCCTCAATACCTTTAACAGATCCTAGCTGCTTCGCTCCAGCAAGAATCGACATGGTAGGCGGTAGTGATATCCTACCGAAAATACTAGTCCCAGGACTTAAAAACGTCATCGGTGGAAGCCTCATAGCCCAGAATACCATCTTTGGATGGATTTCAAGCGGACCTGTAGCACAATCGATTACATCACTCAGTACGCAAGTAATCGAGACCATGGTCGACCCCTTAGGTGATCTGCTGAAGAAATTCTGGGAACAAGAAGAAGTGTCAGGAGCCCAGACACAGACGAATGAAGACACCATCTGCGAGGACCTCTATCGAAATACCACGTACCGGAGAAATGACGGTCGATATGTGGTAAAACTCCCCTTCAAACCGGAATTTCCCAACACGATGGCATTAGGACACTCAAGACTCTCAGCTCAGCAGCAATACATCAGCATCGAACGAAACCTGGAGAAAAAACCGGATCTCCAAAAAATCTATGCAGAGAAAGAATACCAAACACTCGATCATATAGAGTGAGTGAATTCCCAAGAAATCATACGGGACGGCAAATACTTCTCATTCTATCTGCCACATCACGCAGTAATAAAACCCGATAGCAAAACCACTAAAGTCCGAGTGGTATTCAATGCGTCTAAACTCTCTCACTCAGGTCTCTCCCTAAACGACGTACTGCATACAGGCCCCATACTGCAAAACGATCTTATGCTCGTAATAATCAGGTGGCGGTTATATAAGTATGTTTTTAACGGCGATATTGAAAAAATGTATCGCCAGATATATGTCCACAAGGAAGATCAAGACTTCCAACGGATTCTCTTTCGCAAATCCCCAAGTGGCCCAGTAGAAGACTACAAACTAAAAACAGTAACGTTTGGTGTGAGCTGTGCACCATACCTAGCCATAAGAACACTCCATCAGCTGGCTGAAGACTCCAAACCAAAATTCCCACAAGTCGCAAAAATTTTAGTTACCGGCGGACACGATCTGAACTCAACAAAAACATCAGTATCTCAAACAATCGAAGTGCTCAAATCCGCCGGATTCCCGCTCAGAAAAATCACAGCAAATAACAGATCACTGTTGAACGAAATACCCGAAACCCATCACCTTGACTCAGAATTTCTGCAATTTCATGATACGAGCACTACAAAAACTCTCGGAATTAGGTGGAATGCATTGACAGATACATCCTCATATTCCATTGACCCCCTTCCTGACGCAAACGCTGCCACAAAAAGGCAAATATTGTCAGCAGTCGCGAAGCTTTTTGACCCGGCAGGATGGGCACGCCTATAATGATAACTGCCAAAACCCTACTTCAACAGCTCTGGATGGAAGGAACAGACTGGGACGAAACAGTCAAGCCACTCTCGCTTCTCAAATGGACCTCTTTTCGGAATAATCTCATGGCTATCACCGAAATAAGGATTCCACGTTGGGTAGAATTCTCCCCGGAAGGTATTATCCAAATACATGGATTTTCTGACGCCTCCGAAAAGGCGTACTGGGCGTGCGTATATCTACGCGCTCAGCACAACGGATCGACGACATCCCACTTACTCGCTGCTAAAAGCAAAGTTGCTCCCCTTAAAACGGTTTCACTCCCGAGACTGGAACTCTGTGGGGCAGTACTTCTCACAAAGTTAGTAAAGCAGATTCAAATTCAACTCGATCTGCCACCTCACGAGCTAACTTTATGGAGTGATTCCTCCATCGTACTAGCTTGGTTGGAGAAACCTCCATGGACATGGAAAGCATATGTGTCCAATAGAATCTCTGAGATTTTACAAAACGTGAATAACGCCATTTGGTGATACGCCCTCACCTCCCACCATCCAGCTGATTTAGGTACGCGTGGTATCAAACCCGAGGAGCTTGTCAACTTTCCTCTATGGTGGTCCGGTCCAGAGTGGTTAACCAAACCATCAGAATTCTGGCCAAAAACTGCCACCACGCACTCCTCTCCACCAGAACAGCGACAAGCAGATGCACATCACGCAGCTGAAAACGCCGATCTGTTGGAACGCTTCTTATCCTATCCAAGGGCACTCAGAGTAGCAGGTTACATGCTGCGATTCGTAAATAAGGCAAGAGGGTTGCCTGCCTCTTCCTCACGCTGTATGACCCAAGATGAAATGAACCAAGCTAAAACGTTACTCATTTGGAACGCTCAGCATCAACACTACGGTAATACGATCTCCACTCTCTCCGCATCCAAGCCAATCCATAAGAAGGACCCTCTCTTAACGCTTAGCCCGTTCTTAGACAAAGCAGGGGTGTTACGCGTGAATGGACGTCATACTCCCGAGCGACTCAAGACTCTGTACTCTCATTCTCGCATTCCTAGACTCGACGTTACTTCATGCCGAAAAGCAATTAATGATTCGTATGATCCAGCAAGAATACTATATCCCCCGTCTGAAGCAGAAAATAAAATCTTGCATTTTTCATTGTAAACCTTGTACCCTATATAAACAAAACACGAAGTCACAAATGATGGCAGCTTTACCCCCCGAGCGCACAACCTTCTCACTACCATTTCAAACTACAGGCGTTGACTTCGCTGGACCCTTTCTGGTAAAAACGTCAACTCTCCGAACAGCATCATACTCAAAAGCTTATTTTTGTGTTTTTGTGTTTTTGTATGTTTTGTCACAAAGGCCATACACCTTGAACTCTGTTCAGATTTAAGTACTGAAGCGTTCAAAGCCGCATTTGCTCGTTTCGTCGGCAGACGCGGTATACCATGCAAAATGATGTCAGACAATGGACGAACTTTTATTGCATCGCATTTCTCGGAGAGATATCTGAAGACATCAGCAGGAAATATACCGTCCATGTCCTCACCTGGCAATTTATTCCACCATATGCACCCCATATGGGAGGACTCTGGGAAGCAGCAGTGAAGAGTTTCAAAATCCACTTCACGAAAATCGCGAACAATCATAAGTTCACATTCGAGGAATTCACTACTCTTCTCGTGCGCATTGGAGCGGTCTTAAACTCCAGACCGATCTCCCCAATGTCGCAAGACCCAGATGATCTGAACGCTCTAACACCAGGTCATTTCCTCCGCGGAGCCCCCATACACTCATTCCCAGAACCAAGCTCGAAAAACCTGTCACTCATAAACAAATGGCAAAGGCTGAAAGTTCTACACCACCAATTCAGCAAACGATGGAAGACAGAATATTTGCAAGAATTACACAAACGATATAAATGGAAAGGACAGGAATCCAATCTCCGTGAAGGAGATCTCGTCATTATTAAAGATGACCTTCTACCACCGAACGAATGGAAGTTAGGTCGAATTGTAAATCTCCATCTCGCCCCCGATCAAAATGTCCGCGTGGTCGACATTCGCACTCAAAGCGGTGTAGTCACTCGTAACATCACTAAACTCTGCGTATTACCACCAGCGTAGCACATTTCCCTCGAAACATATACTCTTCTCTCTCTCATATTTATACGAGTCCCTCTAAACAACCATCTCAAACTTATAACGTTTTTCGACCATTTACAATAATTACAGAATACTCGACATCCGCAAGTGCTGCTTATGCTGCCGCCGCATTCCTTACGATACTGTCGTGCTTTCCTGGCGATGACGCCCGACGAGAGGTACGAGTCTGCAAAGGCACATCGCTATTGTATTAATTGTCTAGCGACTTCGCACACCACCGGAGCATGGGACTCCCCAGACAGTTGTCGTCAATGCGGACTAGCACATCATACGCTGCTTCACCGACCCTCGCGCGAGCTCGCCGAGCGCGCACCGCATCACAGCCGAAGACAAGTCAGGTTCCAGTTGCCCAAAGAACCACGGAAGAACCATCAAAAGCGCACCACTGAACCGGAACCGAAGCGCAAGGTAATGCGAAGCACATCCAACGAGAGAACTCGACGAAACATCAAATCACCTGCCCTCCAGCAACGAGTCCGTGGGTTGGTAGATAAAGCCCGAAAAACTCTGCAACAGTCGCCGCAGGCCCGCCGGCATGTTGAAGACATGAGTGTCGATCTCATAGAGTTCTGAAAGAAAAATTTAAATTAAATAAATATATATATATATAAGAAATTTTATACTCACCTTCAATAGTTTACCCTAATCTGAAATACTCACCCTTTATCCACTGGAATACGTACCTTAATTTCCATTTCCTGTAAAGCAAAGAAAATTGAAGGAAAACCGAAAAACGAAATTTCCCCTCCTTTCCCGTTAATGTAAAACTAAGCTAAGTACTTTGTTATAAATAATAAGCTTACAGTAATTTTTAAGTTAAATCGCTTGCTTACCTCATTACAGTACGTCTGTACATATGTGCGTGTAAAAAATAAATAAATAAATAAAAATAGTGTGCGGAATATAAAAAATTAATCTTTTATTTTATTCTAAACGCCCTAAAACCCTCAAAATCCACCAGAAGGGAAAAATATAACAGAAATTATAATAAATTTGCAAAATAGGATTAGAATAATTAAATAAGAATTAATCAACATTAGATATGCCATCCAATGGGCGAAAGTAAATATTTTAAATTCTGTAATATTAAGTAAAGAGGAACTTGAATTATCAATTATAAAACTAAAAGAAGAAGAAATACCGTTTAAGAGTGCCGAAGAAGCACTAGAATTATCGAAGGTAAATGTTTTAAATAATGAAATGTTAATTTTGTATATGATTAAAATACCGATAACAATTAAAGAAACTTTTAAAAAAATAATTATAAGACCTGTGAAAAGGAAAAATAATACTGTAATTAAAATTGAATATAAAGAAATATTAAAAGGTAAAAATTCAATATTCGGAATAAAAAATGAATATGAAAAATATAACAACATATCAATATGTAAAGAAATAAATTTAGTAGATTTAAGTAAAGATTTGTAAAACTAGAATTATTTATAGTTTGAACTCAACTTGTTCAACAACAAATGGCCACCACGTTCCTACATTAGAAGAAGTCAAACAGGGAGTAATATTGCTAAATCAATTTGACGGCAAGCTAGTAGCTGATGAAATGTCCCAAAGAATTAATGGTACTCATGTTGTTATATTCAATAATTCAACAATTAAAATAAACAACCAACAATTAAATAATATTGAAACCGGAACGATTGAAACTATCCCCGCAATTCTCCAGCCTATCCCATTAGAAACAGATCACATAGAACTCCTCTCCTTAGAAGCACTAAAAGATCTGCAAATCAAAAACGCAGATGAAATCTATTCTATTAAAAAGGCTACGTTTTCTATCGGAGGCTTAACAATGGCAGCAATTCCAATAGTGATACTAATTATCATCATTCTAAGGAAACGTTCCACAAAAATCCAGTATGTGGAAAAGGAAATTATAAAGCCAGTGCAAACTAAAACGAACCAAGAAGATACGCTGTCATATGCTACCACTCACACTCCAACATATGTAAGTTTCAACGACTTACCGTTCTATTAATGATCCCGGACGATCATACTTAAAGGGGGAAGAGTTAACACCACGGCTTGCAAAAGTTCCACCAGGGTGACTTTTGCAATGGCAAACTCTTTTACACGCGCATTCTATGCGGACGCTGACACTTCAATAATTATTTGGGCAAAACAACAGTCAGAAAACAATCAACCACTTCTAATAAATAACAGTCAGCAAGAACATCGATTTAGCAATAACAGCAAATAAGGCGCACACGGAAGTGCAACGTGAGCGTGGCCAATAATAGGTGTAATTTTAAGTTAAGCAAATTATTGTAATTAATCTTAAGTTTGGATTCAAATAAAGTGGAGCATGAGCGGACAAGAGTCCGCCAGAGCTTTTTTAAAAATTTAAATGAAAATATAAATTTTTAACTTATATAATCTACAGCCGATGAGCGAAATGTGAAAAGAGCGAATGTAGAAAAATAATAACTCTGCGCATCCATTTTTTGTTTTCTTGTTTTCGCTGTAATGTTGTTACTTTAATCAATAAC